GTTGAATGCACTAGCCTTCTGGCAAAATAAAAAGAAACAACAAAGAAAGAAAAAGATAATATTTTAGTATTTTTTGTTTACTTGTCAAACATTGTAAGTTCTACTGCTTTAAAAATTCAGTTTTCTAGCTTGAAACAACCTATCTTTTCAAGTCTGCCTAATTAAAAAGCCTATGAAAGGCAAAACCTAGTTTGAGGACCCTTGTGTATAAATTTTTTATTTCTTCTGCTAGATAAATTATTCATTTTTATTTTCTTATGCACTTGATATCTGGAAAATAAAATCCAGCCGAATTTATAGAAACTAGAAAGAAGGGAATATATCCCTTCCCCCACAATCTACATATGAATCTTTACTAAATGACATAATTAAAAGCATTAATCTACTTTCTTTCTATGTATTAGGCATACTAACCTGTGAATTCAGATGGAATTCTATTTCCTTTTATTAATACAAATAATGATTTCTGACATAAGAGTCAATTTTTTTTGTCAAATTTCACAGAAATATATAAACATTTAATTGTGCATTACATTTTGGCAAAGATATATTCAATGTTTTTCTGACACAAGAGTCAATTTTTTTGTCAAATTTGGCAGAAATATATAAACATTTAATTGTGTATCACATTTTGGCAAAGATATATTCAATGTTTTTTTTACAGAAAATCTCTATAAATTATCACAATGTATTACTCTCAAAAGGTCTCAGTTTCATATGAAGACTTTGCTACTTATCTACAAGTTGGGTCATTATTATCTATCTACAAGGTGGGCCATGCTAATAATACAGTTTCTTTAAAAAACAAACTTCAAAAGAAATGATTAACACAGGTAAGGAAAAAAAAGGGCAGAGAGAAACGATCTTAACCAAATACCAAAAAGATCTTAAAAATTAGAATACACATGAACGATGTGGTTCTTTTTTTTAAAATAATTATTTTATTTTTATTTATTCATTCATTTTTTTTTTTTTAATTTGACCAGAGACAGAAGGAGGCTGAGAGTGAGAGAGAGGGGAAGTGAGAAAGCAAGCCACCAGATTCAGAACTTGAACCCTGGTAGGCCATGTGGGAGTGTCCAGCACCTTAATCACCACGCCACCTGCTGGTCCCAATGATGTGGTTCTTAAAGTATGTTTTCATAAAGTAATCTTGAGTCTCACTGTAATATATAAATAATATAATATATAAACTGATACATAAATGATAATATATGATACATATTGCCCAAACATTTATCAATGTTAATAATATAAATCTTGGAAAATAAAGCTTATTGGGGCCAGCAGGTGGCCCCAATGATTAAGGTGCTGGACTCCCATATGACTGACCACGATTTGAATTTTAGACTCTGTAGCTTGAAAATCACACCAGGCACAAGTGTGTGCATGCCCTAAATCCTAAGAGAATGGAGGACAAGAGCTTAAGGCATGGCCATTTCCAATAGGGGGTGATTTCTCACTTTTCCTCTATGTCTCTTTCCAGTGAGTTCACATGCACTAAGGAAAAAAACTTTAAAAAAAAGAAAGCTAATTTTTGTTTTGAAACTGGAACATTTAACATTTACACTGTCATAAAACAAAAGAGACTAGCTACTGATTCAGTGTACACTATGTTTTAAGCCCTTTATGCATATTAATTTATTTAATTCTCTAAGAACTCTAAGAAGTTAACACAAATTGTATAGATAAGGAAACTGAGACAACATGGTGCTTGCTGATAACCCCAGAATCAACAAAAGAAGAGGCTAGAATTTCAACTCAGGCAGTCTGGTTCTAGAGCCACATTCTAGACTAATTTTTCTCATTCTTAAATGAATATTCCTTGTGGGGAGCAAAAACTGATAATTCAAAAATTAAATAAACAAGTCAAACCTTATTCTGGTTTTGATTTACAAATGCTCCTGGATTAGTAATGGGAAGTTCGGATAGATGTCCAACATACAACAGTAATCCTTGAAGCTCATCAATCAACAACGAGGGAAGCTGAGCCTCCAAAGCATCGTAGGGACGGACAGGAACAGGACCGTTAGCATTGTGAACTGTCAGGTACCTAAAAAGTAATGAGATACAATAAACAACCAGAATCCGAATGAATATACACATAGAAACTCATAGTCAAAATACTCATCTGACATCCTACCTGAAGATGAATACTTTAACATAATGGAGAAATGTTATACACTGCTGCCTAATATTGGCTGCTTTGCTGTGTAGGGTTGATATCTTTCCTGAAAGGAAAACAGGTAATGTTGATCATAGTTTAAATAATTATCAAAATAAATAATTAGCAACAAAAAAAATGGGCAAGTCAGATCGGCAGTAATTCCTCTATCTTGTAACATTTTCCACTGACTCCTACGTGGTTTTTGCCCCCATCACTCCTCAAAAACTATTACAAAGGTCACCAATGAAACCTATACTGCCCAATCTAATGGACACTATCTTCCCTCAAGTAACTTGCCTTCACAGTAACACCAGCTACACCTGATGTCCCTGATCTGACCCATGACTGCCAATCTTCTTTTCCTCACAATCTTCTTTCCTCCTACCTTTCCTTCACTAACTCATCTTACTACTAACATAAGGTCTCCTCAGGACTCAGTCTCAAGTCCTTTCCTCTCTGTATATTTCTTCCCATATGGGTAATCTCACCCATTCCTGTATTAATAAATAACAGTAATGCAAGAAGGGTTATCAATATCCTACATCTGTCCTTTGCATTCTGGACCTGGATGTCAAACTACTTGACATCAACACTTGGACTGCTCAGTGCAAATAATATGTCCTTTGTTTTCTTCCTAAACCTGTTCGTGTTGCCTAGGTTTTTTCCATTTCTTTAAATGGTACCACCAATATGTCATTCTTGATTCTTCCACTTCCTTTTACCTCCTTTAGTCTGTTAAGAGTCTTATTAAGTTTAAAATCAAACATACCTTAACACCAACCGTTTTCCCTTTAATCTCTTAAACCAGTGCAATAGGGTGCCTAATGATTCTTCCCATATACTCCTTTGCCCCCTATAATCCAAGTACAGAATTGGCTTAAAATGTTTATCAATTTCTGTTGTTCCCAAGTCAAAACCCATAAAAGGCTACAAACTGTATTTAGTGAAATCAAAACTTCTTATACAGGTTGAGTATCCCTTATCCAAAACACCTGGGACCATTAGTATTTCAGGCTTCAGATTTTTTTGATTTTTGTAATATTTGCATATATATGATACATATTGAGGATGGGACACAAATTTAAATATAATATTCCTTTAGATTTCATATAAACCCTATACACACAACATAAAGGTAATTTTACACAGTAGTTTGCTATTGTAGCATGCTGACTACAACCTATCACATAAAGTCCAGTGTGGAATTTTCTACTTGCAGTATTATGTCAGCACTTAAAATGTTTCAAATTTTGGAACTTTTCAGAAACCAAATTTTTGGATTGGACATGCTCAAATTATAATCATTTATAAGATCCCAAATAACCTTTGACTATTTCCTGTCTTTTTCCCAACAAGAATGGTCTAGGTAGCTATATGCAAAACATGGATTACCACTATTGGGAAAACAAGCAAGAGACAATCACTAAATGAAAGTAGAGAAAACATAATGAGAACTATGGCTAACAAATTCTCAACCATATTAAACATAAATCTTACTTGCAAATTTGAGTTCAAATAGGTAAACATGGTTGCTACTTTGGAAAAATCAACAGGAACATAAGTATAAAGTTGCACAATATATACCTATAAACTAAACAGTGCATTTTTATGGCTTAATTTTACATATAAAAACTCCTATTACTCCCCACTTTCACAATTCTCAGCCCATAAAGGCAGTACTTGCTTCAGAATAACTTCTGTGTGGGACCAACAGATGGCATATAGACTCCCACATAGTCAACTGCAGTTTGAGTCTTGGACCTGGAGGCTTAAAACTCATGCTGGGGGGGGCCAGCAGTGGTGTGGTGGGTAAGGGAGCTGGACTCCCACATGGCTGACCACAGTTGAATCCTGAACCTTGTGGCTTGCTTTCTCACTTTCCCCCTCTCTCTCACTTTGTTTTTCTCTGATCAAATTGAAATAAATAAATAAAGTTTAAGAAATTACAATTTAAAGAAAAAAAAAAAACCCTCATGCGGGGTACATGTGCATGCATGCCCCAAATCCCAAGAGGAAAATAGAGAAGGGACTGTGGCATGGTCATCCATCCTGGGGGTTAATTTCTCGCTTTCTTTCTCTCTCTGTCTCTCTCTCTGGCAAGCACATATGTCCCATAGCAAAATTCTCTCAAAAACAAAAGGGGGAGAATAACTGATATGAACTTCTGCGGCAAGATACAGTCAAATGATCAGATGTAACAATCTTGTACCTTACACTTGAAAACAAAACAAAACAAAAAGCAGGTTTTCAGGCATTGGCTATAAGTAAGACTGCTATCCCAGAGAGGTGGTGAGCCCCATGACAGTACCAGCTTCCAATCTAGAAATAGCAAGGGGCAAAAGTCTGAACTCCCTGCATTGAGAAAACATGAGATTTAAGTACAGGGAAGTCTGACTTTCCAAGGGCAAAAGTAGCAAAGAAAGAAGATACACAGATACACACACACACACACACACACACACACACACTCACAAAGAGCACTGGAAATGTATAGAAGGCCCCTCTTGAGTACTGACCTACTCAAGCTTGAGGCAAAAAAAAAACAAGAATGGGAAAACACACACACACACACACACACACACACTCACACACACACACACACAAGGGCCGTGTGCTCACCAGAGCAGAAAATCGTTCAAATTCTTACCATCAGGAAGAAAAATGTTTTAAAAAAGAAAAATAAGACATCCTCAGAATACACCAGACACGAAAAAGAATCATCAGAAGTCTTCCTAAGGTAATTTACAAGACCAAATTAACATTAAACAAAAGGATGCTTTTAAAAGTTTCAGTAAAATTTAAACGAAGTCTTAAAAAGAATTAGTGGATCGCAAGAACTGAATAGTAAGTCAGAACAATAATACCTAAAGAAATACAAGAAAATTCAGAAGGCAGCAATGTAAATCCACAATGTCCATTACACAATAAGACATTATTACATACTCAAAAGAACCAGAAAAATGTTATCACAGAACCAGGAGGAAAATGAATGAACACAAACAGATCCAGAAATGACAATGATAAAAGAATCAGAAGTTGGCAAAAGTAAAAACAGCAGCCAAGTATATGAGATGAATGAAAAGAAGCCTGAGGATAGAAACCAAAGATGTTTTTAAAAATCCAAATAGAATGTCTTAAAATAAAACAAAAAAAAGCATCTGAGAAAAGGTAACACAAGCAGCTATATTCAAGAACAGTAATCAGTCAACCATACATTAGTATGTATGTTACTCTGCCTCAACTGGAAAGCAACTCTGGGAACCTATTAAATAGAATAAGAACTACATGTTCTTAGCAATAAGTGACCCTACATAAGGGTTCTATGGGAAGGAATTAGGGCCAAGGCTAGCAAGTCGATTTATTAACAGTCTTGATACTGTTGCATGGCAGGGACAAGCAGATCTACAGATAATCTTTAATACTATCCAACAAATCTGTCCTTCAAACTTTTTTTTGGAGAGGTTTTTTTCGCTATAGGGCCGTGTGCTCACCAGACAGACAGAGAGAGACATAGAGACAGAAAGCGAGAAATCACCCCCCAGAGGGGATGGTCACGCCGCAATCCCTTCTCCTCCATTCTCCCCTCGGGATCCTGGGCACGCACGCACACGCGCCCGGCATGAGCCCCAAGCCACCGGGTCCAGGACGCGAACCGCGGTCGACTACATGGGAGTCCAGCGACATAGCCATTACGCCAACTGCTGGTTCCCTCCTTCAAACGTTTTTAATCAACGAAAACAGTCAACATAACAAACAGGCATCTTAACAAATTGTCCACTGTGGTGGTTTCAGGTTAATAAGTGTGTTTTAGGCAACAGTGTTGCACAATACATGCTCTTTATAAATCTGAGTTACTTACAGCACTCTATACAATAAAGATACCTTTACTTTTTCCATTATAATCTTCCAGATGCTCCCCAGGGGTTTCAAGATAAAATCCAGACTCCTTGGCATGGTTTACAATGCCAGTTGTGATTCCATCCTTTCCAAATTCATCTCACTCACACAAATACTCATCCAACCATCATTAAATACTGCTTACTCTATACTCCCTAAACTTTCATGTTTTTATATACCTCAATGTCTTTGTTTAACCTCAATGTTAAAACACTAGAAAACAATTCCCCACAATTATTGCCCAGGAAATAGTTCAAATTCTCACCATCAAGAATGAAGGAAGAGAAAAAAAAAAAAAAAAAAAGGAAAGCATTTTTTTTACTCTCAGTATCCTAAAGTAAAAACCAGAGGGACTGGCAGGCGGCATGGTGGTTAAGGTGCTGGATTCCCAGATAGCTGACTATGGTTTGAGTTCTAGACCTGGTGGCTTGTATGTGCGCGCTCTCTCTCTCTCTCTATGGTGAGCACATGTGCTCTATGGCAAATATAATAATAATAATAATAAATAAATAAACTTTTGCTTGGTTAATTCCTCCATCTCCTTGAAGACCCAGACAGTGTAGCAACAAAGCCATTGGTTCTTACAGCAGCTGGTACTTGCCACTGTCATTGCAATTTTTCATTCACTATGCAGACCTAGGTTTGTAAGTCTACCTATCCTACACAATTGCAGACTCTTCAGCAGCATATTCTTTCTGATTCATCAGCACCTTACACAGTGCCTAGCCTGATTCAAGGGCTCATTAATGATAATGAGACAATACTACTTAACATTTACTAATTGAATACTAAGAAAAAACAAAACAAATAACACAGCCCTGACAGCTGACAGCTAAGTCAGGCCAGGATGTTCCCTACTATAAGTAAATTTTCATAAAATATAAAAAATGACACAGGGTTACTCTGCATTTATGGTGAAACAAGAAAAAACCTATAAAAATAACTGAACACAAAAACGAGATACCAGGCAGTCACATACACACACACAAACACAACACACACACAAAAAAAAACCCTTCCAGCTCTAATGACTGTTTTTTTTTTCCCCTGTTAAGAACCTCCCTATCCTCTTCGTTTGTCCCACCTACAAGATAAATATTAAAATACCCAATCATAAAATTGCCCGCTTCCTAGTTACATCCAATTCAGAATAAAACTCTATCCTTCGTAAGCGCAACCCAAATCAGCTAACACAATCCTGAACTCCTAAGCCCCTCCCTACTCCTCCTTACTGAGATCCTCCAACTAGTCCTCCTGATACATATTTTCCTTTACTTCAAGGACTAATAAATCTCTGTTGAACCAGAAGTATGTTCTAGGTGATCTTTGATTGCTGGGTATCACTAATAATAGACACTGGCTAAGGCATGAACGTGCATTGTGACAGTTAATCCTGCCAAGAACTCAACAGTTTCTACCTCACACAGTAGGAACTATTACATGGTATGAGACCCACAATTAGCTGAAGTTGGAATTCAGGCTGATGACAATGTCATGATTCTAATTACCATACTGCACCAAGATTGCTTGATAGGAGAAGCAGTTAGCCTGCACTAAAAACACAGTAACCTTCGATTCCCTTCAATACCTTAACTACTCGCTCTCTCCCAATCAGTAATCCCCTAAATGATAAAAGCGAACAAAAAAGCATAAAGCAGGAAAATATCAATGTAGAATGCTGGGGAGCCCTGGCATGCAGTGATTATATACTGTGCAAAGAAAGTTAAGAGCCCACAAGATTGACGGCAGCTTGAATCCCAGTCCTGGAACCTGAAAAACACACCGGTTTGCATGCCTGTGTTCATGCTTCAAATCCTGACAGTCTGGAAAAATGGAGGAAAAAGGCCTGCCGTGTGACCATATTCCATAAGGAGATACTTTTTCTCTCTCTCTAGAAAGCACATATACTCTCTAACAAAAAGAAAATTTTAAAGAAAATAAAATATGTTACTTCTTATTCAAGTTCTCCATCCTACTCCCCACCTCCAACGCCAAGTACTAATTCACTTCAGAGTTTAGCTTCCTTAGGTCAGTCTTACCTTTAGGATCTAGATTTGGGAAAAGATTATAAACCTTAGTTACAGTAAAACTTAAATGTCTTATTTTTTTCTGAACACTAAATGCACTTGTATTGTGAACTTCTGACTCAATTCTTACGCCATATAACTATGACATCCTATTTATGCCATCAAGGATCCATGGTCAAATTTTTTTTTTGCCATTAAACACCCTTTAAACTTACCAAAATCACAGCTGGCTTGTAATAAGGTTTCCAAATTGTATAGCTGTTGCCTAATTACAAAAATATAAGGTGTGAGTTAATTTCACAATAGTTTAACACATGTAAAAATAACAGGGTCACTGTTTGCAAATCTATTCCACAGCTTTAATACCTCTATTTTGTAAGATGATTACTTATTACTTTGTGAATGGGCTTTTTTTCAAGAAATTATTTATTTTAAATTTATTTATTTACTTATTTTAATTTGACCAGAAAGGGACAGGGTGAAAGAGATAAAGAGAAAGAGAGGGAAAGCAAGCCACCAGGTTGGGGTCTCGAACCACGCTCGGTCAGGTGCAAGCCCAGCGCCAGTAACCACCATGCCACCTGCTGACCCCTGTGAATGGTTTTTAAAGGGTCAGTTTCAGATAGTGAAAATTGTGAAAGAAGGTAAAATATACTTTTGTCTGTAGTTTCAAAAATATTAAAAGATTTTTATTATTACTGAGTTATTGTTTATATTAAAAAGGTTAAGATACATAAAAAGTTCTAGGTTAACAGTTACATAATGAAGTGTTACATTGTATCACAATTATACAGAAATTCAAAAAAGGAATACAATAATATATATTAACATTAGAGAAAGTAATATTCCATCTTAATTTCTTATAGTAATCCCTTGCTATTCTTCTTAATTGCCGTCAAACTCTTTAAAGATGGACCCTTATACATGACCTATGTCCTGAATACTCATTTACTCTGTAATGGCCAACATCAGGGAGAAGCATTCACTCAGCCTATTCTCCCAAGACAGCACAGATACAATGATACATCTTCAAAAAGTCTCATGGGATGAGGGTGAGAAAATACCTGCTTCCGCCCCATTTTCATTTAAATATGCCAGGTCCATCTTAATGTGTTTGGGGATAATAACTTGCTTTTCAACATAAAATCTCAATATAGATTCTTTTACATGTAATGAAGAAATAATGTTGTTGTGACAATAACATTATATGAAGGTTAAAGAAAAGTCTATACTTTCAAGAAAATGCAAACTTAAGTATCTAAGGGTGAGGTGATTAGATTTCTGAAATCTGCTTATAAATACCTGGGCCAAAAGAAGACGGAGTAGAAAAGATGAAAGAAATGTAATAAAACCTTTTTTTTCCCTATAACTGAGGGAGCATATGCAGAGATTCATTATATTATTCTACTTTTATGCTTGAAAATTTTTAAAAGTGTCCGAATAGAGAATTAATCATGTTTTTATTACACAGCTCAAAAGATCTATCTAGAAAGACTAAGTTTATTCTTTAAAGACCATTCAAAGATTAAGGCTATTGGGCCAGCTAGTGGTATGGTGGTTAAGGTGGCTGGACCCAACATGGCTGACTGTGGTTCAAGTCCCAAACCCAGTGGCATGAAAAACACACATGGCACAATTGCCTGTATGCCCAAAATACCAAGGAGAGAATGGAGAAGGTATGGCAGCCTAGGCATTCTTCCTGGGGAGCATTTTCTCACTGTCCCTCTGACCTCTCTCTCTGTTTCCAGGGAGCACACACACTCTAGCAAATTAAGAATGAAAAAAGAAGGACTATCATTATTAAGCCTCAGAAAGTATTTTCATTTTCTTTTAAAATTATAATATAGTTCAAAGCCTTAAATAGTTGTCTTCAATACACAATGTCAAATAAAGAATCTTTATTCCAAAGAATAAAGAGTCTGGAAAACAATAAAAGGCAACTCTTTCAAACCATTGTTCCATCAGCCTACTTAACTTGTTACTGGCAAAATTAGTTTTATAATTCTATCAGGGCTTTTTTAATGTCAGTATTAGAGACTACCCAGTGCTATAACTTACAAAACTGAATTACATAGATACTCATAGAGTTAAAAAAATAATATTAAGTAATACCTGAATAAATGAAAGAGCTCTCTAGATGAATTGACTAATGCTGTTTCAGTAACCCACTGAATGCCAAATATTTCCACTATATCCTCTTCAAAGCTGGTTGGCAAAGGATCAAGATTCAAAATTAACCTGAAATGCAAATTTATAAAGTTTCTTAAATTCATAGTTTGCTAAATACCATAATACAGCCATGTCTTTTTTTTTTTTTTTTACATTTCTTAAATCTGTATTATTGTTATATGACATAGTAAGTCAGGAAATCCCTTTGTACCTTATTATTTAGGATTACTACAGGCAAACTTAAATTTCAATCCTGTAGCGATTCAAAAAGTCTAACTAGAGAGCGATGTAACTTAAGAGAAAAACCCCAACAAGGATTCTAGGTTGCATACGTTTGACTCTCTTCTTTAGCGGTCTTAAGTTGTGGAATTTCATCCCTTGTGAAGATATCTGAGTTTTTCTAAAAAGCACCTAAAAGTTATTCTGAGCCATGTCGAGAGAGTGAGTAATCTCTTTTAAGGTGTCTATCAAGATAGAATCATAAAATCAGCAAAAATGGCTTCCTTCTGTCTTAAACTGCCTCAATGAGTATTGCCCAAATATTTCAAGAATTAGCAATATCACTGCAACATACAATGTATCTATACATATATAGATATAGATGTACACATATACAAACACCCAGTGCAAAAATAACTTCTATATGTACATAGGGTTAGAAGGAACTGGGGCAACAAAAAAGTATATGTATGTCTTACTTAAAAAATGACTGAAAAGCTCTAGAATTTCATCAAATTCATTTCAAAAGCCTGAATTCACTTTAAGTAAAAGAGAAACTAGAGCCCAGCTAGCTCTCTGCCCTACCGCTGAGTTAGCAGTAAAGTAGGAAGACATCAGTTACCAAGAAAGTTGTTTTTAATACTCAAAATAATGTTAGGTAGGCTCTAACAGAAAGTCAACAACAGAACTAATATGCACTTGTACTATTATGATATATTAAGCCGAGTTATAAAACATGGCTTGGTGAACACCAACGTTTAATGGCCTAAAAGGACAGTTAAATAACATTCCTAGCTAATAAATAATCTAATGAGGGGAGACCAGTCTCCTACATTTTTTTTTAAACCTACCGCTTTAGGGATCCGCTGGAAAGGTAGGACTCGCCAGAAAAGTTTCCTCCTCCTCTGCGGTCAAAAGCACAAGAAAAGCTAGGAGGTTTGCACCATTCTGTCCCCAGCTCCAGCTCTAAACTATCAGTCA